CAGCTGGCAGACTGGCAAAGGGAAGGGAGAAGGGTGACACTTGCTGATGCATCAGAGCTGAAAGCAGATCATTAGAGACACTGGCACAGCCTGAATGTTATAGATCAGCTACTGCTGACCTAAAACATTCACCTTGAGGTTCAAAGGATGACTTCTAAGCCTTGTTACTGCAGTTTTGGGACTAAAAGGGGTCCAGAGAAGCCCCGACAGGCTCAGTCTCAGGCGAAACAGCCTGCAGTTAGGCACCTACGTGTCTGTGGTACCAATTGAGCTTTTAAATCTGGAAGCATCTGCCCCAGCAGTGATTTGATTTTATGCAATGTGTCTCACGCTACTGTATTGCGAAGCGTGCCACTAAATCCTTGCACATCAAAGGAACAAAGTAAATCAAGCAAAACTGCATAAACCACGTGATAGCTCAGTTTTGGCAAAAGGTGCTGAGACAATGCTGGAGGCTGCGGTCCTCTAGCTGGCAGGATAAAATCACACAGCCCAGAAGCAGTGCTGGTTTTCCTGTGCCACCAAGCAAAAGGCTTGTGGCTAAGGTTGGATTAGGAGCTGGTCTGAAGTCAAGTGCTGCAGAGATCTAGTCCTGAGTTTGATCATAGTTTTCCAGGTGGATTAAAGCATTATTCTTAATCATTTTGTGCTTCCATTTCCTGCTCCATGTTTTTTTCCCATCCTCCATGAGGGAGATGAGGATTAATTTAAAGTCTAGGACAGGCCATGAGGATGATCAGGGGACTGGAGCACCTCCCATGTGAAAACAGGCTGAGAAAGTTGGGGCTGTTCAGCCTGGAGAAGAGAAGGCTGCATGGAGACCTCATAGCAGCCTTTCAGTATCTGAAGGGGGCCTATAGGGATGCTGGGGAGGGACTCTTCATTAGGGACTGTAGTGATAGGACAAGGGGTAATGGGTTAAAACTGAAAGAGGGGAAGCTTAGATTGGATATAAGGAAGAAGTTCTTCACTGTGAGGGTGCTGAGGCACTGGAATGGGTTGCCCAGGGAAGTTGTGAATGCTCCATCCAGTGTTCAAGGCCAGGTTGGACAGAGCCTTGGGTGCCATGGTTTAGTGTGAGGTGTCCCTGCCCATGGCAGGGGGTTCAACTGGATGATCTTAAGGTCCTTTCCAACCCAAACCACTCTATGATTCTATGATTCTAGTTAAAGTGGAGACCAAAAAGCTTTGCAATTGTTAAAGCACCGGGTTTACCCTTTGCTAGGCCAGCTCAGCTGAGTTCCCGTGAGTCATTATTGCCATGCAGAATTTGACCACAATATTACTATTAATATTCAGGGTTTATACTCCTGATCATATGGGGACTGTCGCCTTTTGCTGCTCTGCAGGTGTTGGTAGGAAAGGGAAACAGTACTTCCAAAGCCCAGCAGCTATCTCAGTCCCTGGGACCACATTCCCTCAACTCTTCACTGATGATGGGGGCAGCCCAGGGGCTGGCTTAGACTAGATGCCCATTACTAGATGGTTTGCATTAAGTCAATGAAGGTCTAAGGCTCATTGCTTTGCCTGTGTGGAAGCACTTGGTGCAACATAGAGGCCATGGGACACCTAGGACATCCGAAAGAGGGCTGATGGGTCTTCACACAGAATCTGTAAGACACTTGTGCACTTCTGGATCAGCAACTGGACACCTGATCATATTATATGTATGAATACTTATGCATGGGCAGCTAAATAGAGCTGCTACTCAATACACCCCATGGAGATCAGGAGCAGTTCAGCCTATATGTAAGCAGACACCTCCATCTGCATGGCTTAGTTGCTCTTCATGTACATGAGCAGGAACTCATATATGGCTAATGTAGATACCAGCACATTGCTACCTACATGCAGAGCTGAAAACAACCTCTGGCTTCCTCCTAATTCAGATCTTCCAGCACCAATGCTGAGATCCTCTACAGAAGAAAGGAGAGATTGGGATCCATCCATTCTGGATGCTGACCTTATTTCCCACAGGAAAAGGAGGTAGGAACAAGGTTCTCAGGGAGTTTGTTCTTCCCCCCATATAGGTTCCCATTGGAGACTTTCCTGGTCAGGAAGGTTAGGGAATGCCCAATCCATCACTCCTGGCCAGAGCCCTTTGTAATTCCCTAGATTTCTTCTCTTCCTGCCTGAAGTCTTCTCCATTACAAACCTAACACAGCAACTCGAGATCTCTATTCCAAATATCCCAAGACCTTTAGTCCCATGCCAAGTCTCTTTGCCATAACACGCTGATAATCCAGCCTGTCCCACAATAAATGGACTGTAGTCACCAATGTCATTTAACATGGGTAAAGTAAAACCCAGTCACAATGACTTTGGTCACTCCTGGACTAGAACCTGTTGACATTTATAGACCACCATCCCCATTCTGAACATTACACAAGAAACAAAGGCAACACATCTCCCAGGGATCTGTTTCTCTAGAGAATCCAGGTGATTTCCAGGCACTTGGTAACAGCACAAAATAGTCTGCTGTTAGAATTCAAAAGCCAGTGAAATAGCCTTTCCCTGCAGACTTGCTTTCTATGAGGTATTTCTGATGAGAATCCAGTGTCTCCACAAAGGCCTGGCATATGAAATCCAAATTACATAGCTAGCATTCTCCTCTTTAGAAGTGGCTCTGTGAAGCACAAAATCCCTTTGCAATTCACTCTGGTGATGGGAGGCAGCTCCCTATGTTCAGACCTATGTTCAGACTGAAGACCTGAAAGATTTGTAGCCCAGGAGGTACTTCTCCTACCCATGGTCCTCCCAGCTCAGGGGAGAGCCAATCTCCTTCATCCTTCAGAGCATGGTGGAGGAACCACAGGCACAACCACCCTCTTGCTTTCTCCATCCCCCTGGAAACACCCTGGGACCACATAGAATCATAGAATAGTTTGGGTTGGAAAGGACCTGAAGATCATTCATTTCCATGCCCCCCGCAATGGGAAGGGACACCTCATACCAGACCATGTCACCAAAGGCTCTATCCAGCTTTGCCTTGAACACTGCCAGGAATGGAGCATTCACCACTTCTCTGGGCACCCTGTTCCAGTGCCTCACCACCCTCACAGTAAAGAACTTTTTCCTTATCTCCAACCTGAACTTCCCCTGTTTCAGTTTCAACCCATCACCCCTTGTCCTATCGCTACCAGTCCCTGAAGAAGAGTCCCTCCCCAGCATCCCTGTAGCCCTCTCCAGACACTGGGAGCTGCTCTGAGGTCTCCACGCAGCTTCTCTTCTCCAGGCTGAACAGCCCCAATGTTCTCAACCTGTCTTCATACATCTTGTCTTTCCATTCCCATCTCTGGAGCCTTCCTGCTGATATCAGAAAAGGCACATCTACAAATGCACATTTTGGGCTATTTTGTGGTGGGGATAGGTTAAAAATGAGTCATGGTCATTTTCATGAATTACTTGCACAGCAGAGTGTTTCCACACAGCGAGCCATTATGAACCCATAGGTGGAGAAGATAATTATGGCTAATGTAAAGCTGTGCCTGATTTCCCACTCCATAAAAGGGGAGGCAATAAGTCCCTTTCCTCATGGAGGTGTGTGATGATTTAATCACGAGGGGAGCTCTGTGTTTATAGATTCTAAAGACACCACTGTGATTATATAGCCCCACCTTCTGCATCTCAGAGCACAAAGAACAGCGGCCACTAACGTCTATGTCGAGTTCATGATGTTTGCTTGAGCTTGTAGCACATCTCTTAGCAAGACAATTCATGTGGCCAATCTGAATGCATGCATCAAGTTATGAACCCTGTTTTCTGTGTTGACTTATGCACAGCATTATTTCAGCTTGGGAGTAAAATATCCATTTAATGGTATCTGTTGATTTATCTTACACCCTACTCACTGCAAGATCAGAGCAATGTCAGCCAGTCAGTGCCCTGAGCAAAGAAAGAGCCTGACACATCCCTGAGCCATCACCACAGAGAAACTGTGGCTTTCACCATGCATAGCCCTAACACCAGCAGAACGTTCTTCCTTGGGCTGTGAGTGATACCAGGAACCCATCATCTGGATGGGTCTATGTGTTTAGCCCATGTGATTCACCATTTGTTCATGTACCAGATTACAAAGGACAAAGGGTTTCCTTTGTTTAGTTCCCAAGTTAATCTTTATACAACAGCCTCATGAACAAGCATGGTACTGAGTGCAATCTCTTTGCAAGAATGTGTATGGATAGGCCAAAATCAAACTTACAGGAAAGGTATACCCATGCAGCTGTAAGTCTGGGTTAACAGACCATAAGAACAGACTCGGTGAAAGAGCTGCTGTTTGAATGTGGTTTCCATATGGTGAAGAACCTTGTTCAGAGAGATCAGTTTAACCTGCAGTTATGTGTTGCTTTATGATGTGTCAGGCAGTAGTGTTGTCCCCCCATCACAGCATTTTGCTCTTGCAAATGCATTGTCTAGATAGAGCTAATGTGGCCTAGAGTTATTTTTCCTGTTCTGTTGGATGTGGGATCACTGCCATGCATTTGAGGATGTTTAACTCCACGCGGGAGGAGGCAATGTGCTTCCTGATGGGACTCATGGGGAAAACGGACCTGTGACTAGCTGTGAGGGCTCTGAAGATAAGTTTATCCTTTGTCACATCCAAGAAAGCTAATGTGAAGACACAGCTGCTGGTTGACCTCTAAAATAGCAACAAGGTCTGGCCCAGGGGGACAGCATCATCTAAAGCTTTCAGTTATCTGGTGAAGATTGAAGATGCTTTCTAAAAGTGACGTGACATGATCAAAACAATTTCTATGCCAAATATTGGGGGGGTTTATCCTTGCTGGTCACTGTGTCCTCTAAAGAGTAAAACTAGCAGTGGATAAGCTCTGAGGGAGTCAGGGGGAAGGTGTGAAGGCTGAGTGCAGTTTGCTATGCCTGCAGGGAAGACTGAGATAAAGGCTGTGCTTGAGCATCTGCCATAGGGACCCAGAGCCAGGAGGACCAGCTTGAATCCAGACCAAAGATGCTATGAGGAGACTTATGATCGTATGTTACAGGATTTCATATTTGTGTCTTCTTTTGATGGCCTTCCTGAAGTTGCCAACACACGCTGACCCATGATTTAAAGACTACAAGTTCTGGAGAAGCTGCTGTATTCCTAGGTAGGTAATTTCCCAAGAAACCCCTGAGAAAATCATTCCATATTCCCATCTGAATTTACTTTCTGTCTTGGCTGCAGTGTCTAACCACCATATGTATTTATTCTCCCAGGCACAAAAGCTGACTTGAACAGGGTCAAACAGGGGCACTCTGCTAATGCTAATCACAGAATACACACTCAGTAGCTCTTTGTGGTCCCCAGCTATTTTCCACTGGTGGTCAATTAGAGGACTATATTATTTGCAGCATGTCCCAGGACTGATAGCAACAAGGTCTACACTTGGAAGAAAAAGGATATACTCCTCAGAGGAACAGCTTGTGGCAATATATGGAGTAATAAACCCAATAATGCCACTGGAACAAGGAGCAAAGATTGGTTTATGAGACAGCTGGGTGTTTTAATGGAGAAATATGTCATTAAGGGACATGGTGGCAAATCAAGAGAGGTGAGGTGGAGGCTCACAGAAACCACAGAAGCAAGAGAGATGGGAAATAGTTTTTTCTTGTTCAATAAACCCCTACCTCCCTTTTAATGGCAAGGAGAAAATGTTCCTCATGGGAAAGCGTTCTACACAACTTCATGGAGATGAGATGACCACAGCTTCAGCTCACAGACTTGTGCATGGCAGCCTCTACTGTCCAATGCTGCTGTGTGGCACCATTGCTGTGCCTCTGGGCTATGCGATGCTCATGTTGCCATCAGGAAGTCATCCATTTGCTTTTCCCTTCACTCATCAGCATCCTTAAGTGACCCACACTTCCTCCCTCAACTCCAGCCCCCTCCTATACCTTAATCTCTGCTTGGAAACACCCAACACCAATTGGAAAGAAAGGTTGAAAATCAAGAGCAATGCTTTTAGCCTTTCATAAGGATCTAGAACACTTGACCTCTTTTCCTCCCACTGGGTTACTTCTCTCCTTTTAATAAATCAAATAAAACTGTAGAAGCACTGCATTTCATCTTGTCTGGACTGTTATATTTAATCTCCCGAGTGGGTGGAGGTAGGTGTGTATGGAGGGGAATGGCTCTGAAGCCTGAAAACATGAGAGATGACTCTCTTAAGCTCTTCTGATTTCACAGATAGGACTTTAATTAGGGCCTATCAAAACCAATCAGGAAAAGCAAAGGTTTGTCAAGTGGTTTGCTGCTGCAAAGCTTTTTATATTTGTACCAAGGGTTTTTTCTTGGCCTTGTGCACAAATTTATTCATCCTAACAATTTTACAGCTGCACTCCCTTGCTTATAGTGCATCTCTCTGCATGAGAAACCTCTTTTGTCATCCTTGCCTCTTGCTCAATTGGTAATTCTCCTGCTGGGATGGGCAGGAGCACTCAGGCATTGCCAGGGTGGAGATTAGATTTTCACTTTGCACTTTTCTGGTAGCTCAGAACGTTTAACTCGTGTGCTGATAATGCCATTATTTGTGTTTCACCTGCAAAGCCGGTTGGGAAGTGAAGAGTCCCCATCACTTAGCGATGTAAACCACAAGTATAGAATCATAGAATCATAGAGTCACAGAATGGTTTGGGTTGGAAAGGACCTTAAGATCATCCAGTTCCAACCCCCTACCATGGGCAGGGACACCTCACACTAAACCATGGCACCCAAGGCTCTGTCCAACCTTGAACACTGCTAGGGATGGAGCATTTACCACTGCTCTGGGCACCCTGTTCCAGTGCCTCACCACCCTCACAATAAATAACTTCTTACCTCTAACCTGAACTTCCCCTGTTTCAGTTTGAACCCATCACCCCTTGTCCTACCTCTACAGTCCCTGATTGAGAGTCCCTCTTCAGCATCCTTGTAGCCCCCTTCAGGCACTGGAAGCTGCTCTGAGGTCTCCACGCAGCTTCTCTTCTCCAGGTTGAGAAGATAAATACAAAGCATGATAAATAATCATATTTTATATCCTGTCAAGGAAACCAGCACAATTTTAAAAGGAAAATTAGAATGTTTTCTATAGCAGATTTTAGTGGAAAAGTGTTTTTTGCCCTGTTGTTAATCCCGCAATGTGGTTCACATTATCTATGGAATTCTCAGCTCTGTCGGGTTTTCAGAGATTTCAGTCAATAGGGAGCGGTTCAACTACTGGAAGCCAGGATCATCTTGAAGTGCTTTGCTGGGTCACAGCTCCCATTATTAAGATATTGGTCACACCAGCGCTGAGATCCGGGAATATTTCTTGTTCAGAAAACACCATTTTGACTAAAATTGTTAACTTTGGGGTCTAATACAGCTGCAGAAGGGAAATATATGACAACTGGAGGCTGTAAAAACAGAGTGGGATCACTGAACACATCTGGAAATGCTTTAATTACTGCACATTCAACTTCGAACTACTTGGTTCCTATGTAAACACAAGGCTAGTAATTAAAACACAAGCTTCAGCTCATGTGGATTGCTGTCTTTTAGCTACTGAGTTGGAGAAGGGAGGGAAAGAGAAGGGGTAATTTTATGTTTGTAGATTTGAAGGCCAAAAGGACTGTTTGATGTGACTGGATGTGTAGCAGACCACTCAGTTTCACCCTGTTACTCCTCTTTTAAGCCCCAAACCTGGTGTTGACAGATGTATATTTTCCTGAAGACACTTAGTCTTGAGAGGAGACCATCAAGTAATGATGTTACACCTTGGAGAGCAGAAGGAATGCTTGTTTAATGAGTTTTAAGAAAGCATAAAGATAATGTAAAGCTTTTCAAGTCCTTCTTTTAAACAGTCCGAGGGTGTATGACATTTCCGTTTGATTTGCAATAAACCAGTTACAAAGAGCCATGGTTTTACCTGTAGTGAATTATATAATAATTTAAGATGTGTTAATATAAAACTAATGGAGGTCCAAAGGAGATACAGTCAAAAAGCAGTTGACTTGGTAAATTTTTCTGAGGAATTACTTTGAGTAAGCTTGAATTTGCCAACTTGCCATGAAATCTTGTGCAGTTGGCTCAAGATGATAAATTAACTGTGCTGTAAAACTGTTTTAAGTACATTTCTGGTTTCATTAAGGCAGCTGCATGGTCATAGAAGGCTTTTTGAACAGTATTGGGGGTGCCTTGTCCACTGGCCATCATTTTGGGTGAGCAAGTCCTTTCTGTCTATAGGTGGCTGGGTGGCCTGTGTGAAGGCAGCCACAGCTCTCCACGACTGATGCTTCAGACCCCATCACACCACCTGTGGGCTGCGTGAGAGCAATGCCAAGCTGTGGATGATGTTATTGCAGAGCTTGTCTTGAAATGTGGAGCACTTTGGCTCTTCTGGATTTGCCTCTGTGCTCAGAGGATATCTCTGTGCTACACTGGTGGAAGCCACACCACCAGTACAAACAGGGGAAGTTCAGGTTAGATATAAGGCAGAAGCTCTTCCCTGTGAGGGTGCTGAGGCGCTGGCACAGGGTGCGCAGAGAAGTTGTGAATGCTCCATCCCTGGCAGTGTTCAAGGCCAGGTTGGACAGAGCCTTGGGTGCCATGGTTTAGTGTGAGGTGTCCCTGCCCATGGCAGGGGGTTGGAACTGGATGATCTTCAGGTCCTTTCCAACCCTAACTGTTCTATGATTCTATGCCTTTGGCTGGTTGACTGGGATGCTCACGATCAAGCTTGACTGAAGAGAGCTCTGTGGTTATTTAAGATTAGACCAATCCCTTTTCTAAGTGTTTCTTCTCTGCTTGCTGTGGAAGATGTTCAAGTAGCTAGTTATGACCCAATATATGGTTAAAATCCAGTGCATGGAGGGGGGGTGGAGGGGATACAAAGCTGGAGGGGGACTTTTTGTAAGAGCAAGTAGTGACATCACTGGAGCCAGGATGAGAGAGCTGGGCTGGGTCAGCCTGGAGAAGAGAAGGCTCCTGAAGGGGAGACCTTAGAGCAGCTCCAGTGCCTAAAGGGGCTGCAGGAAAGCTGGAGAGGGGCTTGGGACAAGGGCCTGTAGGGACAGGCCAAGGGGAATGGCTTGAACCTGCCAGAGGGGAGACTGAGCTGAGCTCTTAGGCAGAAGCTCTTCCCTGTGAGGGTGCTGAGGCGCTGGCACAGGGTGCCCAGAGAAGCTGTGGCTGCCCCATCCCTGGCAGTGTTCAAGGCCAGGTTGGACACAGGGGCTTGGAGCAAGCTGCTCCAGTGGAAGGGGTCCCTGCCCTGGTAAGGGTTAGAGCTGGAGGAGCTTTAAGGTCCCTTCCAACCCTAAACAATCTGGGATTTGATGAACGTTATGTAAGGTAAATCAGATTCCTTATTGTTGAAGGTAACTCCATGGTTACACCATGACCCAGCTCGTCCATCTATGGCTAAACCCAAGGAAGCTTCAGGATGGGCAAAGCCTAATTCTATGCAGAAAAGCAGCAAGTCTTTTAGGAATCAAATTGTCCTTGGAAAGTCAGGACTGAACAAGCCAAGGGGCCTGGACTGATGTCCCAGTGCTGCACTGTATTGCCAGTAGAAATGGAAAGAACTTGACTTCTGCAGTTTCTCTTCCGACTGCCTTTAGTTTCCTTCTGGAGTCTAATGTAGAAAACTTGAAAATTTGGGGAAATGAAGAAAAACCACTTTGTGTGAAATATAACCTTCGAGTAAAACCTGGAAAGTTTTAGAGTAACTATTATGACATTACTGCACCTTTTACTAATAAATATTCTGAATTATGTCAGTGTATATCAAAATGTATAATATTAGTAGTAGTGATTTCCAGCAATTTTAAACTTTACTGCTGGTACTTACAGAGCATTGTTATACTGAATTATACTGAATATATATAAAGATGCCATTTTCCCCAAGGTTTCTTCCAGAATGATGAAGATTTTCTTCCCCATTTGCATGACAATATGAGAGGATGTAACCTTTCTTTTTTGCAAGTCAACAATATTGATGCTTCTTATTTTCAAGTTAGTAATTTCCCTACCTGTTTTATCAGTGTTTATAAAGATAAAACATATGCAAGCGCTTCAGTCTGCAGCACTATTGCATGTGTGGGGCGTATTTGCATTACTGGGAAGTAAACAATTGGAAAGGAAAACAATACAGATAAAAGCAGAAGATACCATCGTGCTGTTGGGCAAAACCCTCTGAAGTCCTGTGTTCTGCTTCCCTTGCCTCAAAACTGATTTACTACAAGTGGAAAAGGCACAAAGGAGAGCAGTGAGGATCATAGAATCACAGAATGGTTTGGGTTGAGAAGGACCTTAAGATCATCCAGTTCCAACCCCTAGCCATGGGCAGGGACACCTCACACTAAACCATGGCACCCAAGGCTCTGTCCAACCTGGCCTTGAACACTGCCAGGGATGGGGCATTTACCACTTCTTTGGGCACCCTGTGCCAGCACCTCAGCACCCTCACAGTAAAGAACTTCTTCCTTATATCCAACCTGAACTTCCCCTGTTTCAATTTAAACCGATTCCCCTTCTCCTATCACTACAGAGGATGATAAAAGGTATGGCACGGTTTCTGTATGAACAGCTGAGAAGGAAACAGGAGTCTATAAAATCATGAGTGACAAGGAGAAGCTAAATAGGGAATAGCTAATCGTGGTTTCCAATGCAAGAGTCATTACACTGGAATAACAGGAGTATTTTACTGTTTAAAATGAAATGAAAAGGAGCCAGATGAGGAATGTTATGTATAAGTTCACAGGTTCTAGCAAAAACCTGACTCTGGACATCCTATATCCACAGCACCAAAGGGACTGACTGATAACTCTTCTGTAATACAGAGGTTGCAGTTTCAGTGTCAGATGTAGGATGTGAAGTAGAGGATCAACCAAGAAAACTATTGATAGTTGATATACTCCTGAGAGTATTTGATGAGGCTGTACTTGAAACTGATACAGGGAACTGTGTAACACAAGCATGTTTGATCAGAAAGAATCATCTTGTTTCAAAACCAACATTGAATAAATTTACATCAGAGGGTGAGATGGAAACCCATCATGGTTGAGACTGTGTGCTGGCCAGAGAATTATACACCTAACTGG